ATACTCCTCCTCTCTCTCTCTCTCTCTCTCTCTCTCTCTCTCTCTCTCTCTCTCTTTCTCCTTCGCTCTTCGAAAAAGCAACAAGTGTAAATCGCGAAAAAGCCTGTACACCGTAATATCGATGATCATTGGTGGAATTTCAATCGTTTGTTTCCCATTTGCTTCGAAATGCTAACTAAATGTTTTAAAATATTTCATTCCGTTTTTAATATTATTTTTTTATCTTAATTATTTATCATTTTTCCATCGAATAAATTTATTTTATTGAATTATTTGTCATTTATTTCAATTTATTTTTGATATTTATGTAATTATATGGATGGAAGGATGATGGATACGATATTTTAACGAATATTGTGCTATGATTGTCCTTATAAATTAAAAGAATTTGATGGAAGAGGTAATGTGAGGAATTATATCGGGAAAAATATATTTATATGATGGATGCAATGGCGAAAAAAGATTGAAAAGATTAGATTGATGAAAGTGAAAGATTAGATTATCTTTTTTGATTACATCGTGTTATGAACGATTGGTATTAGTAGAAAAAGATTTAAATTAATATTAAATTTCACATGGAGAAAATCACAGGAGAAACATTCCATGTTCAACACAGAAGGAACACAGAAGGAAACTTTATTGATTTTCTCTTCTTTACATACATCATCCAGCATCTAGAAATTATTGCTTTAATACGCCAAACTACTTTAACTAAGATTCCAAGATATAATCCAACTTTGAAACCGTCCTCCTAATAACAATAATAAAAATCACTTACCAAAAAAAAAAAAAAATCAATATATTTAATCTTAGTTAATCAAATTAACCAAAACCGTCTCGAGCATAAATCTCTCCAGAATAAATGTATATACATCACTTTTCTCCTGTCACTTTGAATTGTCCAACTTAACAATTTTTAATCAAGAATGAATCCATTACATTTTGGAATTCGAACTCGATCCACCGTTAGAAAAATATAAAATTAATTCTCATTATCTCATAGATATCAATGAGTGTCTGTTGAACAACGGGCACGGGCCTTGTCAGGATACGTGTCGGAACACCATAGGCGGCTATGAATGTTCCTGCGACAGTCTACAGGACACCGTGCTGTCAGCCGACAACCACACGTGTCAGACAGCGGGTCCCTGTAGCGTCAACAACGCGGGATGCTCCCACACCTGTCTCTCCACCATGGGACGAGTATTTTGTCTCTGTCCCGACGGTTTCATCCTGGAGGACGACTGGAAAACCTGTCAAGGTAATAGAATTTGCTTATCCTTATTTCTTTACTTATTTCCCTTATTTTTTTCCTGTGGAAGAGAAATCGTGAAAAACATTGCTTCTGCGCATTTTTTGAATGATGCACATTGTGGAAAAAGAGAGATTTTGTAGAATTTAGGATTATAATTTTAAAATGTATCGTGTAATGTAGTGAATTTTGGTTTTTAAAAGGTTTTACAGTTGAGATCTACTGAGATATATGAGCTTAATTAATGTATATTAAGAGTAAGGTACTTATATTTAATATTGAAAATTACTGTGATGGTTTTGGTAATTTTTTCTGCCATGAGTAACCTATTGAAATAAAGGATTTAAATAATGAAAGAATGGTGTATATTTTAAAAATGGTTTAAACATCGTTTATCGTTTCTTTAATATTTAGTATTTAGTAGATTTTGCTTTTTTTCTATTATTTTTTCAATGTGCATGTTAAAAGATTCGTGATTCCAAACGTTTGCAAAATCAAATTGAAAAAATATGATTCTGTTCCAAGCAGGATATCTTTTAATTAGCCTCGTCAGAGAAATCGAAACCGTGTCTAATATGCGTGTATAATGGGCTTGTGAACAGCGACATTCCATTCTTTTATTTTTTTTATTGTATTTTTTGCCAATGCACAAAGGTTTGAATCTTTTATGAGTGCGTCATGAGTGCGTTAATAATATACGAGCCACTAATGGATGCTTTCTGTTAATTAATAACTCGTTCTGAAAATGCTTCTTTCCTTCCTAGCCATTCATTCGAACGAATGCGCCATCAATCATTTATTTTACGTAATTGAAGTTCTATGAAGTTCTATTTAATGATATCTACTTAAATCTATTCATTGAAATATTAAAAATGTTGCAATCTCTATTTTTAAATTCATAAACAGAATTAATCTCCATGAATGTTTGATGTAATATACGATTGTTTAATTCCTTTCTCGAAAAAAATGCTATATACAATTGCAACAAAATTCTTTCATTCGTTATAAACTATCGTTAAAATAAAAATTTTATCATAATAAACGTTCCTTATTATTGTTTCCAATTAATTTAAAAGTAAAAAATATCGGTATATCGAGTAAAACTCTATTTACCCAGAAGAAAAAAAAAATTCTTTTCGTTATCATTATATTATTACCTAAAAAACAAAAATTCAAACGTTTCGCAGTCATGCATAGTTAAACAATTGTATAAAAACTCAGAGAAATTCGCATATTTATTTTATATCCTTTTAACGAAAATATACACGCTGCCCGATATTTTTCATCAATTAATTAATTCAAACAAAAATATAAAAAGATGAATAAATGTTCCCCCGTCCCCAATCCTCGATAAACCTATCTTCCATATTCCATTTAGATACAAAATATCACGATATTATTCCTCGTACGATCCTATAAAATCTCGAATAACGATATCGAAAATCAAATCTTCGACACGGAATTAAATCGTTCGAAACGATAAGAAGGAAAAAAGGGGGTGGGGAAAAAAAATACGATGTATCTCTTTTCCAGACGTGGACGAGTGCGCCAACCCGATTTGCAAACGGAGATGTGTCGGTACGGTTGTATCAACACACCAGGATCTTATCGATGCGCGGAGCCAATGGAGTTGAAGGATCAACCGATACTGGACAGCTTGTCCATCACGTGCCTGCCGGGCTACGAGGCCACCCCCGATGGAACTTGTATCGGTAAGTGGTTTAATCCGTACGGGTGATTTAACAGGAAGTTGGATTTGCCTCGGCTAAGCCCCGCGGCGGACACTTTTCACTTTGCGAACATCCACTCCTCCCTGTAATACATTGTACCTCGGTTGCTTCGCGATTCCTGCGATTTCGACGTCGAATTTCCCTTCCGAACGATTGATTTCGAATAGCAAATTGTCTTGACGATGCAAATCAACGTGGAGAAGATCTTTTTCGTGGTATATTAGTGAAATATACCAAGAGATCATTTTTTTTCGTCGTTATTAAGATTTATATACGATTTATTTCGAAGTTTAGAGGATCAATGAACGAAATTGTAGGAATTAAATAAAAGTATGAAAAAGAAGAACGAAAAAATGAACTCTAAAGTCTTTGTAAAAATTGTATCTTGTCGAATCTTCCTCTTTAATCTCTAGAACGGTAACTAGAGAAACTTGAAGATTAAAGATGCTTTGTTTCGTAGAGAATTGAAACGACTTAATCATAAGCAGCCAATGGTTAAAATGGGAATCAGAATTATGAATCCGTTACGTAGCTGTGTATCACTATGGTGTATTCGAAACAAGGGAAGCTTGGCTCGTAACGACGATATTCTTCGGTAACCGGGATAATTGTGTTTGTCGTTCATTTCGCGGTGGAAAATTTTAGTGGAGGCAACTGATGGGTGGTACGATAACAATTCCATAGGGAGATGAGCGTCCTAACGAGATTCCGCCGCCTGGTCCTAGTCGTGCCCCATAATACCGTTCTAGACGATCCCAGTACGTAATCGAATTAACCTGCACATGGATCCACTTGGTAGGCTAGTGGATTCTACGATGGTAATATCGGGGTCGAGATTCTGGATCATCAACTGTCGGAAAACTGTCCGATTTAATGGAAACTGGCGGCTGGTTCGAAACGTTTTTCAGTTTGGAGAAAAATTTTCTTCCTTCATTTATTCGTACAAATTATATTATTAAATTGATTTAATTTGATTTGGTAAGAAATATGGTAGTATCTAACCCTTACCTTTAATACATTTATCTCCCATTTATCGAATTATATTAAATTACATTTCGACGTAATATCTTATAATATCTTAGATTTAGATATTCGTTTTCCAATTTTAAAGGAAATTTAATTTTGCACTTTCAATTAAAATATTAATCTAAAAGATTGGTTTTCTTGATCTTTGTTTTTGAAAGTTGAAAAATTTAAAAAGTTTTGTAATGATGATAGTTATCAGAAGAATATGAATATTAATTAAATCGTTACTTTTTTTTTATTATCTCTTTTGTTGGGTAATTGAATGTAGTTGGTGCAAAAGAAATTCTTTTTTCGAAATTATCTTGTTACTTGTTATCTTGCTACTGTTATTGTTTTCTCATTTCACGAATGTATTTATTACAATTTTTTTTGCAATTAGAATTATTATTTATCATGCAAAACTTGTTAATTAATAGAATCAATAATATATTGATTGGGATTAGTAATAAAAAATAATAACGATACTTTTGATGGAGACAAAGCTTAGAAGATTTCATTAAAGAAAGATTTATATATTCAAAAATGAATTTGTTACATTTTTAATATTAAATTTTTCTCTCTCTATAACGATTTCAACATTCTTTCAATATCTTTGTAAAATTGTTAGAAAGCCAAACGATCGAGTGTCGCGGAATTCAGTTTATTCTTCTCGAATCTTTTTTCCATTTCGTTTCTGTTTTCTATTTAATCTACATTCTTTCAATATTCCACGAGAATCCACGAGAAGATCAAGGAACCAAGCAACGTGAAATTCCATTTTCCTTCTTCAGATTCTTCCTTTCCTAATTCATTGTTTTCTATTCTAAGAAAAAAAAAAAAAGAATTCTTTCAATATTCCATAGGAATCGTGAAAGAAATTCGATTTTCCTTCTGCGAACCCTTTCCCAATTCCCTCCCTATTTTCTATTCAAAACGAATTCTTTCAGTATTTCACAAAATTTGAAGAGAAGAAAATAAGAGTCACGAAATTCGATTTTCTCTCTTCAAATCTGCCTTTCTAATTTATTTTATTAAAACAAATCCTTCCAAAAATTAATAGACCAAAAATCTATAAGCCTGATGAAATTCCGTTTCTTTTCTCAAACATATCTTCCAATCCTTCAAACCAGATTTTGTCAAGTATTTCTCGAAGAATCGAGTAAAATACCAAGAAACCAAATGTACAGCAAGATTCGATTTTCCTTCCTTTCTAATTCATCGCCATATTCCATACGAAAAGAACACGTTTCTCAAAAGCGAGAAAAAAAAAAAAAAAGCAAGCTTCGCGAAAATTCTCTTTTCTTTCTCCCTTCGAATCTCGTTCCTAATTTGTCGCCATTTTATAGTTTCCATTGAGAACGAGTTCTTTTCGTGGCTCGATGGTAACAGCCGTCGAGAGAAGTGGAATGATTTAAGGGTTCTAAAGGCGTCTCTACGATCCTGATTACAAGGTGACAGCTCTCTCGAATTTCCCCCAGGGGATATAAAAGAAGAAGATAAATGCGAACCGGGATGGATTAATGGAATTATGCCCGGCTCATTATGTAACGCGCGGAGGGATCGTTTCCGGATGGGTTGACTCGTGGAAATTAAAAAATTCGGGGTGACGATATATCGGGAAGTTTAATCGAGTTTGGATGAAACTCTGGAGATTTTTCAATTGGCGAAGTTGTAATTGGCGATTATTAATTTTTTCCTGATTATTTCCTGATAAAAAGTAAGATGGTGATTTTTATATTATTGGAGAAACTATATAATGATAAGTTTTTTCCTTAATATTTCTAAATTTATTAGTATTATTAAGAAATTTCTCCAATAATACGTTAGAATATTTTAGAATTTATGCATTACGTATAGCGTGTAAATTCTAAAAACAAGAAATAATTATAATAATACAATAAAGATTAAAGAAATTTTGTCACAAAAATATTCATACAAGAGAATTAAAATAAATACAATTTACAAAAGTAAGATTCGAAAATAATGAAATCCACAATTTAAATAATGAGCGAAATTTTATCTTACTTAAAAATTCATCAGCATTAGTAAAAAGTCGAAAAATTATGGGTTTTAAAACTTTAGTTAGTCTTAAACAATAAGAAATTCAATCGCTCGACTTTTGGCAACAATTTTGGTTTACTATCACTAAGAACTTTCATCGAAAGAGATTAATTCGAAGAAGTCGTTTCGCGAATAAGTAAGTAAGGAAAAAGAATGATGAGCACCGAGGCGAAAGGAGGTCTCTTTTTCTGTTAGATCTAGAATTTCTGGCGGAGGATATCGCAAAAATGTTTTAAAAATGCGATTGTAAGAAATTTTGAATTAGTTTCGGAGTCTTTTATCGCAGGAAACAATTGGTTCATTTTTTGGTAGCCTTTTGTTTTTAGATAGAATAAAGAGAAACGATTATACTTGAGGAAAGTTAACGTTTCTTCGATCCTCCGCTAGAGAGCGGAAGTTTCGTATATTTCTTCTTTGTCTAGTTTACTGCGAATTCGTTTCACATTACGTCTGCTTTTTCACTTGTAATGTTCGAACGAGTGATTGCACCACTGCACACTTCTTTCTTTTCCTTAGATAATTTTGCGAATCGATGAATTTCTTATTGGTTAAAATACAATTTAATTTTAAAAGTTTACAATTGAATGTTCGGTTTTAGAATTTATTCGATGATATAGATATAGTCTATAAATTATGGAATTTTAAAAAACATTTCAAGAAATGTATGAATATGATAGTATAATTGTAACATTATATTATCAATTATAAGGAAATACTATGTTTTAATAATCTTACTGGAAATCTACTTTAATCTGTTAAATATCGGGCAATAAGAATTATATGTAATATTATATAATTGAAAAATATAAAAAATAAAATAATTTATTGTTATATGAAACAAGAAAAAGTATATTAGGATTATAAAGAGTCTATTATACAATTTTAAAAAAGAAATTTTCTTAAGAGAAATATAGTTTATTATAATATACTTGTTATTTTTTCAAACTTGATAAACGATTTACAATTAAATGGAAGAGGAAACAATTACGAAAATGATGTTGAACAAGTATCTAAAAATTTATATGAATAAGACATTAATAAAACAATTCACAAATTAATGTTACAATTATTAATAATTAGATTAATAAGCTTATGCCTAAAATTAGCAAGTGTCTGGTGACTTAGCGAGAGACCATTGTAACCATTGTAAATATTATAATTACATAATTGTTAAGACCGGTAGTAATTCCAAGTGGACATAATTAACACAACGGAGGAAATTCATGAACAAACATGACCTTTCGCACATTTAATTTCGAGAAAGATTCAATTAAGAATAATTTAATGAGTATACCTCAAGTTTTATTATAATTTCATTACATTATTAGAAATATAAATTGTTAATGAAAAGCTGAGAGAATATACGTTTAATATTCCAAAAATCTTTTTTACTTAAAACGATATAATTGTCTCTCAAATTGCTCATTTTAAAATTATTCCGTTTTATTATATTTTGGAAAGGTTTGCTACCAAGAAAAGGGATACAAATCATGCCATATAAATCGTTGATTGTGAGCTCGTAATTTTTGAAAAGTTTCTTCGAGTATATTATTCATATTTCATCCGATGAACTTCTAACAAGCTCGTCTTAACTTTTCTCGATCTTGCAAAGTTTTTACGATGGCCTCGTTTCGATGCGAGGAAAACAGTTATTTTCCTTTATTGTCTTCGTATTTTCATTACGCCTTGGCTAAATACCCCGAACATCGGGAAATCCATTAACTATCTCCTCGGGATTTCCATTGTTATCGTATTTTCTCCCTTCTTCTTTTTCCCTCCTCCCGATTTCCGCTATCGTTCATCTGGATCTGACGTATCCTGACCAAGTTTCACCGGAATAAGTCGTTATAAGTTTAGAAAATTGTTACAACAAGTAGCGTCCCGTAAAAAAATTTCTCTGCAAAGTACCCTTTTCACTTTTGTGGAGCACAGTGTTCGTTTTTGTAAGTGTCTCATTACCGGTTAACTTTGTGCACTTTTCCCAAGAGCTTGTTTTTTCTTACGTATGTGTATGTGTGTGTACGTATCTTTTTTCTTTCTCTCATTTTAAATTGTAACAATGAACGCGAAGAGCAACAATGTATATGCAAATATTTTGAATGCTTCTGTTACATAATTATTTATTTCTCTGTTGGAATATACAATATTAATTTTTACCCTCTTATAGAAATGTATTAAATTTTCCAATGTGTTGAATTACACAAATGAATTGTACGATCGAACGTATCAAAATATACCTATAATTAATTTTGATAACTAACCGAAATATTTGTCATTTATGAATACGATGAATTGTACATTTGTACCAAAATAACAAACGTATTTTATATTTGTTGAAGCAGCAACTTATAAATGTGATATAATCAGCACTCTGCAATCAAACAAGGCAGTATTTGCACATCTGTGCAAATATATTGCAGAATTATTTAATAAACTGAGATATTAGAGTAAAAAAATGTTCATAATAAATATCTCGTTATTGTGTTGTACATATATAATAGTTTATATAACATGTTGTCAATCAATATAATTAGCAAAAATAAGAAGAACGAGTCAGAGAAAGAAGAGATACGTTTTACAAAGTAAAAGACAAAAGAATATTTCGAGAATAAAATATCGCGTGTATATTTCAGACACTGATCTATTTAAAAATTGTTATTTCATATATATATACACTGGTATCATCGTGTACATGACACATTCCGCTTTAAATTTAAATTAGTCGTTATAGTTTCCAGTGATAAATGGTTGTTCGTCATCAATGTCGAAACCACGTGTGCCAAATCAAAGAGGTTGAAGCTTTACAAGCTTGATAGTGCTTATTATAATGTTTCTACATCTCGAATGTATTAGTGTAAAATGATCAAAGGGAGTTTCGAAATTCAAAAAAATTTGAAAATATTATAATACAAGTAACTTATTGATGTCATTAATAATGAAATTTTTAAAAGAAAGAATATCGTTTTAAGAGAAATCGCAGAAATAAGTAATTGAAATAAAGTATATAGAAATAAAATATAGAGCGAAATATTTACATAACTGTTCAAGATATTTTTAAACAGTATGATTAATGGAATTATGTAATAGCAGTTGCAGCTTTATAATAAATTTTCTTCAAGGCACCTGCTGTACCATAACTGTTGGATCGATGTCAACCATATGTGCACACAAGGCTTATGAACTAGCATTAAAAACTGTCTAACTCGACTGAGAGTTGTCAGATTTGCCTCGAAACAATGAATAATACATAACGCGAAAAGTTCAACAAATCGTCGACTTGTTAACTTGCTTTGTTTCTTACCTTTTAGAATCTTTTTATGGATGAAGATTATGGTTTACCACTTGAAATTTGCATTTTGATACACTTGCTTATTTCTCTCCATTATTTCTCTCCGAAAGAAATGAAGAATGAATCGAGAATAACTCTTTCAACGAAAATAATATTCATTTTAATTTATACCCAAAGATATTTTTATCTTATTACTATTTTTTCCTCTCCTCATCCTTTTACAAAATCCCTTTCTAATCTAATTTCCCCTTCATTTATCCTTAACACTATATTTTCATCGTCATCATCATCCCCCACTTTACTTTTCAAAACTCGATCGAAACGCAAATATTTAATTACAACAAACATATATCGGCCAATATTATCCTAACCTCAATCATCGATTGAATTCACATTTATTAATTCCTCCCTATATCAATCTGCTCTCTTTCTCTGCTCTCTATCACTTTAAAAATCCTCCATCCTGGATAAAAATTCCAAAATTGTTCCACCACACCCAACAAAATAAATCCAAAATAAATCCACCCCTTGCATTCCGTCCACGCGCAAGAGACGCCGGGCCAAGAATACGCGCGTAGCCAACCATTCACAAAGGAAATCCCCCAGGCGACGAAAAATCAAGCGGGCATTGTATCGATTCGGAGGGGACACGTTTCGACCATTTTGTCGCGTCATTATCGCGCGTACGTCGTTCACGGTATCGCGAGCCACGGTATCGTGAAAGCGGCGGAAGTCGAGCACTCTTGGCGGTCATTGAAAGCGCTCGAGGCAATCGCAATCCGGCCGACCCTTGTACGTCTATTTCGGTCAATTTAACGCCATCGGGTGGACAATTGACCGGGTCGGTCAACGAAAGAACGCAGACGAACGTGTGTTGTATGCGAACGAAAGGGGGAGAGGGAGGGCCTTCCGTCGTTTTCCGTCGTTCAAATGTAGGAAGGGAGGGGAGGTGAAAGGCCAGGGCGCGTTATCATAGCCTCGTGTAACATCCGCGTCGAGGAACTTGAACTTTGCGCTGATCGATAACAGCTGGTGTTATCGTGGCGAAAGGGAACGCTCGCGAGTTAACCACGCGAGAATAATGGCGATACGTCTCTGTTTTCGCGGCCAGTCCGAAATTGTACGATGCGCGGGGTTAAGAAGATCGGAATAGATATTTCGATGTTATATTTAACGCGTGTCGAAGTTCAAGTACGATGATGATGGGTTATTTCGATCCATTTTGTTAACGTTAAATCGGTAGAATTAATTAATTAGGTATGTAGAAATTAGGTTGGGTATTATATGGATTATACATATCTATTTTTTCGATGTTATTAATTATCGCGAATTCCGAATTTATATTTATTATTAGGGGATTTTTGTTTTGAGAGAAAATGTGGGTAAATAATATTTTGCATAAATGCATTATTTCAAATTCAAATTACATGTTGTTAAGAGTTTAAAAAAAGAGATATATTCCTGTGTTAAAAATAAATTCTTGTTATGTGCTTGGAGTAATATCATTAAAAACAACCATTAAAAACTACTTTAAGAAGCGTGTATCCCATTAAATCGATGATTAATACCATGCAACAATAAATGATTTTCATGTTATTTTTTTTTTTCTCGAATCTTTTGCAACTTGCGATTCATCCTGTAAAATTCTAGTTTATATGCCTCTACTCCGGCCGCCTCTTTTCATTACAAAATCATCTGTAAACTTAGCACGTCACGGCCGGTTTTAAAAATTTTATAAATTACGATGGTGGAAAGTGAAATATTCCGTTCGCGTAAATCCTGAGCGTTTAAATGTAGCATAACAATTCCGTGATTGTTTATCATGCGTGATGTGTGAAATAATTCTGCGTATTTTTGTGTAGATATCAATGAATGTACAGTTGACAACGGTGGGTGCACAGAAGTCTGCGAAAATACGGATGGAAGCTTCTTCTGCGCCTGTGACGGTGACGAAAAAGCTCTGTCGTCGGATGGCAAGTCCTGCGTGGGTGAGTTTCTCATTTTCTAGAGAATGTTTCATAATTTTATCAATGGTTTCTTTGATTTCTTTTTTTTTCTATATCAAATATTACCTAAATAAAGTAAAAGTATCATTAAAGTATCTGGCTAAGATCTGATGTTTAGTTTTTTCTTAGTTTTAAGTAGAATTTCTGAAAAGAAAGTATTGCCAGATTTATTTTTGAATATTTATCATTTTATTTCACAGTAAATACTCGAATATACATCTAATGTATAACGATTCAATGAAAATTTTATAATTAAAATCCCATCATATTCAAAAAAAAAAAAAACGTTCGAATTAAAAGGAAGGATGAAACGAAAATTTTTCACTTTTCAAATTTCTTCTCTTTCAAACAAAAAAAAAAAAAAATTACAACAAAATTCATCTTCATCTTTGAATCTTCGTTCACTAAGAAAAGAGTTAACCATTTATTGAACAAGAAACGTTTTCTTCCCCATCCATTATCGTATCAAATCGCCCAGCAATTTTGATACATCCTGTACTTGTCGTCCCTCGAAATGTTCTCTTTTCTTGGGAGGGAAGTTTCGGAACTCCTTTTCATTCGACTACTCGTTCCATCCTCGAGGATCATACATCATTCGCGCGTCTGGGAAACGCAATATGTTCCACAGAGAGGCGGGGGGAAATTTCTCGGCTATGTAATAATGCTATCATGGACACACACGCGACGAGAAGCGTTTTTGCGATTAATACTTACACGGCTGAGTAATACTTGCCTTTTATTCGCGGGACAACTACAAATTTACCCGCGTTTCCTGCAGTCGGATTAATCCACCGTGCCTCGAGGCACCTTCTCACTTGGATGGAATGAGGAAATCTGAATTGCGTGTTTATCTTTTAATAGTGCTTTTGATCTTCGTAGATTTCGTAGATACGAAAAGATAATCTCTGTGGAATTAAATTTTTAAGAGTTTTGAAGTTTCCGCTTTTCTTCCAATATATTTTAAACTTGTACTTTCGTTGACTTTTTAGATTCTTTTTTTTTTTTTTATACGTATTATATTTTCTTCCATTATAAATTTATTCGTATTTCAAAATTAATACAAAACGATGTCCACAATGTAAATTAACGAACGAGAAATTTTTGTGAAATTTTTTAATCTTAATTCCGAATTTTTTTCGTTCATTGTGTCAGAATTATCTTTACATAGTGTGAAATATTATTCGTTGAAAACTAAATTATCATAGAATTATCGAATAAAAAATCTCTGGAAATAATATGGAAATCTATGGAATTAAAATCAACTGGAAATAATAATTTTTAAAATTGTTTGGGCATCAAAAAATATAATCAAATTCTTCTGGCAATTCTCTTCCTTTAACAATTCAAACATCGCTATAAATTAATTTTTATTAGAAAAAGAAATGTTTCTACGTTTCATTTCACATTATTTCTTGTCTGTACGTATGACGAAGTTAACGTGTCTATTTTTTCCCTCTCACTTCATTGAACCACTTATATCGCATATCGTACATCGCTGTCAGTAATTTTTTCAAGTACTAGATGATTTAGAACGTTTTCGCTCTGAGAAATTTCTAAACGATTACTTCTTGATGATTTAATTACCTTAAAGCTCGATTAAACTTTATTGAATTTAAAGAAACTTCAAAGCGTTATAACTTCGAGAATAATGATTTCTAATTAATAAATGAAAGATCATTGGAAGCGCGAAACCTTGCTCTTTAAAACGCATTTTCATTCGTCCCGATACGACTTCCGGTTCCCGAGATACCATCGTTCAAAGAGAAGATAATTTTTAACCATTTAACTTAAACCTGATTAAACTCTATTAAAATTAGAAAAATTTTAAACCGCTATAACTTCGAAGATAGTGACTTCCGGTCGATGAGTAAAGAATCATCAGAGGCGCGGAACTTTTCTCTTTAAAACGTATTTTTATTCGTCCCGATACGACTTCCGGTTCCCGAGATATCGTCGTGTAAAGGAAAAGACAATTTTTGGTTATTTTACTATCTGCGTCCTCGTCGCTTACTCGGATCTCTCGCTCGCACTTCTTCTCACTGACCTATTCCAAATTCCAGACCAATGACAGACGCGATTCCTGGAAGAATGTAGTACGTATTTCCAAGAAAAAATATAGGTCATCGAGTTGCAAGCCCATTCATGATCTCTGCACGTCGCCTCGCGCTTCTCGATACTTCAAGTCTTTATATCTCGGCAACCGATAGAGATATCGGGATGAAACAAAAAGGAGCTTCAATGTATCGTTTCACTCTATCCCTCGAGTGTGTTTTAATGACAGAATTTTCAATTTCTTCTTGCACTTTTTATATCGAAAAATCAGAGTTTCATTTGTGATTCTGTACGAACGGCAGTGGTTTATTATTAGAGGCTTAAGTTTATCTAATTTCACTTCTAATTTTATATAAATGTACAAAATGATCTTTGTATTATTTTAATGATTCATATTGAGTAATTGTAACATTTTATGGGGATGATAGAAGACAAGATTAGTGCCTGTCATCGATATTTTTTTCTCGAAGAAGCTAAGGTTAGTTTTTCAAATAATCAATTTTCAAAAATCAATTTTTAGCTTTCGCGTAAAAAAATTATTTTGAGTCTCAATTACTTCTCCCATCGAATCCATCAAATTTTTTTAATTCTCTCCATAAAGAAAAAAGAATAAACTTCTCGTTATATTTTTTTTTTTTCAAGCATTGTACTCGATTTTGCAAACGTAATTTTCGCCGATAATAGAATAGAATTCGACAATTATCGGTTCGTCGCGGAATGTAAACCATCGTGGCGAGACGGAATAACTGTGCAAACAATCACAATCTGGGTCACTTGATTTCAAATTCTCGGAGAAACTTGTAAAATATTAGCGTGCACCTTTATCCAATGCAAATTTCACGTTGGAACTTCTTGTGTCTTTCTTATTGCCTGGTAAGTTTATGAAAACGAGAAAGTAAACTCGTGGAACAAAAATTTGAACAAGTTGGAAAACGAAATCGGAATAATACGGTGAAAGTTGAAATTTCAATTTCATAAGGATAGAAATGTATTTCGAATTAACCGGTGTTGTTTCCTTTTCAGATTTTGCATATCGTATAAATGGATGGAAAGATGACAAACTTTTATAACAATACATCGTATCAATATTTTCAAATCGATATTTAAAATAAAAAGAAAGCGTCGAATTTATATTAGAGTCAAATTATGAAATTGAATTGTGTGTATTGATTCTTATGTAAATATTGTAAAATTTTAATGTCATTTATCCCTTAGATAGACTAATAGATTTTTAATTTCATCATAGTTTTCTGATGATTTTTCGAACAAATTATATTTCCAAAATTTTTTTAATTTATTCGCATTTAACAAACAAATTAGCTTTCAATGGAATGATTCATATCGTAGGATTATTTGTTTAGTTATAGGACTACAGATACCCAAGCAAATCGACGTTGCACTATCTTAATCCTTCTGTTGCTAACGAGGGCTTTACTCGTCATCTATGAAGCGGTCTAAAAGCATTAACGTTGACTTAGTCCTTAGTCCGAAAGCAGATTCCAAATACCAGAATTAACTTACTTATACCTAGATTTAATAACCACATATTGATACGCGTTAAATTTATTTCTTTAAATTTATATATTATGATAATTCTGTTATTCGAAATTTGGAATGTGTAATGCATAATTGTTTGATCCACTTTGTCATAATGGAAGAGAAAGATAGAAAGATTGGAGGAATGCCGTTTCTGATGATTTGAAAACACAAATTTGATAAGAGGAATCTCAGAATCATGAAATTGATACCAAAATTTAGACGAAGTTTAATTTAAACAAAGAACGTTCGTTTAATAATTTCCCAAAATTCTAAACCTTAAGTAGAAATAAAAAATAAATAAATAATGGCGACGAAAACAAATGCTTGGAATCCTTTTCGCAACATTAGATCCGGAATTCAATAATGCAAATCAACCAAGAGGAAAATTGCAAATGTTGTGCGAACACGAGATTGCTCCTTAATGAGTTAATCGATATCGGAAATTGGCGATTTGAAACCGAGGTATTGCAGACATTGCAGGTCCCCAAGATTTTCCGTCAAGTGACCCGTTTTACGCTCGAAATCCAGCTTTCCATTGAAACAATCCATTGGGACAATCGTCGATACTAGCTCGCCCCGTGCAGAACCGTCACGGATCTGATTCTTGCAAATGTAGCACCGACACGTGTCGTCTCCCCCCCCCCTCCCCCTCCACGATCGTCATTAACATCCACGATTCGTATATTAGGGTAGCAGACATGGGAAATAATAGGAGCAGGCATTCAACACGGAGTGCTGCAACGCTTGGGCGATGTCGCGGGATCGACATCTCGGTTACGCCCTTGCTAGATTGGATATTAACGGTGACAGAAATTACCTTGATTTCGGGGTAAATTCGTGGAAAGTCTGGCTAATTATAAATGGACCGAGAGATTCGCAGCTTCGTATCGATTTAACAAGAATGGAATAGGAATCGAATGTATTTGACGAATATTCGAGAGATGTGCTGTTTATAGGTTTTTTTTTCTTTTTTATTCATCAACAAATGATTCCTTTCTATGTAGAAAAATAATATAACTTAAAGGATTTCTGACTTACATCGTGAATGTGAAATGTTTTGCACGTTTTACAATTTATAACGTAAAGATTAAAGAAAAATATTATAATATAATAATATAATAAAAATAAGAGAGATTGATATAAACTTTTTAATCAAGCTTCTTTCAAACTTGCTTCAATTAAATTGTAAATTAAATCTTCAACTAAAAGGAATGTGGCATTTGATTATATTATTTTCTCGGTTATTTTTTACATTTTATAGAAAATAAGAATTCGCTTAAACAACAATATTATATATATTTCACGCGCAATAGAGTAATATTTCTTTCTTATTTCTCGACTCTTTGTCACAGAAAGACAAAGAAGGGTTAAAGATATATGAGCTCACGTTTAAAAAAAAAATGTTCGTTTTCTAATAACACAGCCTCAGGACAGACTTCGATATTTCTTTTCAGATATAAATAATGTATCCTGCCCACCGTTGAATCCGGAGGGTCGAGGATATTTAATGTGTTCACGTTTAGCTACTCCAAAGCCATGGAGAGGTAGACGAAGAGTGGCCAATCGACCAGGTACCAAATGTTTCTTGAAGTGTCCCCATGGGTATCAACTTCACGGAGAATACGAATTGACTTGTAGATCGGATGGTTCGTGGGACGGTCCAAAGCACGGCGAGTGTGTCAGTAAGTAAGAAAATTTGTTTTATCTTTTTTTCCTTTTTATTTTTTTTTTATTTTCAATTTGGGATTACAATGTATAATATATTAATAATATTAATATACGTATAATTAATTGAAATCGATTTGAAATAAATGTTTATTTAAAGTGATAATTTGTTAATGAAAATTCAAGAGTATTTCTGAAATTAGGCTTTCTAATAATCTACTTTTTCGTGTGAAACGCAGAGTTAACAATTAACAATACTATATTACCAGCTTGAATAATCAAACATATTGATACGATCAAATATTCGAGTCTCTATATATATTTAGTGTTTGCATAGTATTATCGCAGTTTACGTCTTTCCAACCATTCCGATTAAACGCGAGAAATTTGTTGATTTAAAGTACAAAAATTTGTCTCTGCGTAAGAAGAAATAGAAGAAATACGTGTAAAATAAGGAATTTATAATAAAAACTTAATTTTATTTTTAAGAATATTAACAGGACGAATTTGTGTGTACTAAATAATTAAAATTAAAAGTGAAACTCATATTACTGTTACATAATATTATTTTAATATTGTGTAAGTACAATCTATCTTTATCTTTTCTTCGTATCATCCCATTCTATTTATTATCTTTTACTTACTTCTTTTAACGTCAACATAAATCCATCCATCTCACGAATAAAAATTCTGAAAATAATTTAACTTTCGACTCGCTATTACACGTAATTCAAATTCAACGGTGTCCTGTATCTCGACGCCTCTTTTACCCACTAACGATAGCATCACTTTTTTTCTAACGATTTCTATTTCTTTTGTTGCAGGATACAGCAAGCCTCGTTTAGAGTGCCCGAAAGATGTGATGGCGGAACTGCCACCAGGGAGAGACGAGGCCTTCGTGACGTTCGATCAACCGTCGACAGATCTCGATTGGTTCCGGTACGTTCGATCGAAACCCTCCTGGGGGACCAGGCTGGAGGCTAATCTAACCCCGGGTGTGCATGAGATCACGTTCTTCGCGAGACACCCGGTATCGAAGAAGCAAGCTAGCTGCGTGTTGCGCATCATTGTCAAAGGTGATTAATTAATGGCCTGTGCATGAAATCGATGCGTGAAATCTAAACTCGCCAATGATAATCGGTATTGATCGTTAAACCCTTCTATTAATCAATTGGGGTGGATCTTATCCTGGTCGATAGAACGGGGAACAATTAATTTTCCTGGGTTTAAGGGACTGTTGAGGGTACGTATAATGATGTATTAATCTTCTTTCAAACGACATTCGATTGACAATCCTTTTTTTTTTTGAAATTATTATCGACATTATTATTATTGATTAATTTTTATTACGAGTAGAGTAGATTTATCAAGATATCGCATGAAAAATCATTTTGAACATAATAAGAAAGCACCTCTCCTTTTCATATGTTATTCGAGAACGTTGATATTTAAAAACTATTTTTAATTAAAATCATTTGATATTTGATCATCTATCGTAGATAATAATTCGTATTCGTGTTTTACCGTCTCTATATTTAAATTTCATCGATTTTCTCACATTTTCAAAAACTCGATACATTATCGCTTTAAATCATAATTCGATTAAATCCCTTAATTCGAAGAATTCCCCATTTCCTCGAACTCATTTCGAAAACATTCAAAAACCTTCCCTTCCTCCTTTTCCATTCCCCTTTTAATTAACCCTTTCTTCACCTCCCCTATTTCCACACCACAGCAAAACGAAATCCTTTAAATTAAACGAAGGAACCCACCCCGCCAAGGAAAAATTCCGAAACGACGATCCGGAGATGTGGGTCGACGTCAGCTTCTCTTCCAGAAGTGGAAGAAGGTTTCGCGTGTTCCTGACTGAAAACCTATTACTGGAATAGCCGTGAGCCCATTCACCCCGCATTTTCTCCCGACTTAATGCGTCATTACGCGTTTTCGAGGCGAGCGTGTCGCTTAAAAAGCTTCCAGTGGCGGTGGCCATTAACACGATCATCCAACGAAAGTTAGACTCTAAGATGCGCGAAAATGCGGTACGTTCTTTCATTAAAACGCGACACTTAAAGCGCGGTATTCGATTGTCTCGACTTACCGATGAAGAATGAAAGCTATAACCTGTGTTCAACGAAAGGAATAGTAGAACATAAACAGAATGCCTGCGATCGATGCACGAAGCAGAATTATAGAATTTTAACGATTGGAATTAAGAATAAAGTTATTCCAATGAGTTATTATCTTCGAATAATTCAAAGGATAATCGCAATTAAAGTGATAAAATAAATACCATTCGAGTATTATAAATACAATATACTTTATCTAAAATTTAAATTAATTTTTCAGCTCAACTTTGATTACACATGTTTTTCCAGGTAAATATTTCCACTAAATACTTCGTGCCTGACGGTTCTAATTTATATTAATCATATTGTGGATAAAAAGAAAAGATCCAACTAACTAATGTATCGGTACAGTTAGATTAGAAATAGAAAAAAGTAATGATGTCGCGTTGCAGTTTAACACCATCGAACAGCTCAAAAATATGAAACAACTTTAAAAGGAAATATCATTTACTCGTTTCCTTGAACGTGGTATCCCTCTAAATTTCGAGCAACCATCCCATGAAAATCTCCACCCGAACGTTTCTTCTTCTTGCTTGGCCTGGACGAAATCTCAGACGGTTTTAATTAAATGCGTTTCCGGGATAAGGTTCGCCGCAATGGTGTATAATCTAGGGATCGTTGGCCCCGTTGGATTAGATTATTCGATGAATCCTCTCCCCGAGTGAACGCTCGACTGATTCTTCCTGGAAACCGTGGGTGAATTCCCTAGCGAGAGTACGTACCCTTACAACGTTGTTTTTCCCTTGGATCGCGAGCTTTTCGGATTAATGAATATCGAGCAGATATGTAGACGTTTTCAGGTAACGTTTCCCGCGTGAATGGATAGGAGAAATGGGGCAACAAATTAGGATGCTGTCGAGCGAGCTATGTTGATTGGAATAATTAGGAGGGCGGTTTGAATGAGGGGGGGGGGGCAAGTGGTGTGTTTGAGTCGCGTGATTCGCGTAGGAGGAATAGACGGATGATATGTGTATATGATATATGCGTTGAGCTTCTTTTGACTCCATTTTGGTAAGTATTTTTATACGTGGAGAGTTTCTTTTTTCGATCTTTTAGACGAGGAATGATTCATAAGAGTTTGAACGATCACGATGACGATGATGAAACGAAAGGTTATATTTAGATGAAAAACTTAGATTGAAAGAGATTTTATATTCTGCGAGGTTGATTAATTTCGTAGAATTTACTTAAAATTATCTTTTTAATTTTTTAATCCTTGTATTTATTACTTAATAATGAAGATATTTAAGATTTCGTTTATTTCGAAATTATATCCAATGCTCGAACTCTTTTCAATCAGTTGCGTTCTATATAAATAAATTTAGAACGTAGTACTTTATTCAAAATTATATCAGCATCGTTTATCATCATTGCTGTGTTTTTAATTAGCGAAGCGTAATTAATAAAACCGAGTCGTCGAATTACACGATTAATAATTTTCAAACATTTCGCGTCGACAAAACTCTCTCTCTCTCTCTCTCTCGTTTACTCTCTATCCGTACCAGCTGTAATTCCATCCTTCATTTAACTTTTTCCCTTATTTCCATTTTCCCTTCGTTGAAATAAAAATGTTTTTGCGTTAAAAGGGCGTACTTGGCAACGTTGGTAATTAAAAATGGAATTGACTGGGTTTAAAGGGAGAAATGGGATTAAATTGCCGCTTAATCTACATTACTCGCTATGATCTGAAAGATGTTTAAAAAAATCTATGTAAAATCGTACGCTAAAGATCATCTTTTTGTTTTTTACGTCGACGTTAACGAGCAATTCAAATTTAATTTAATGCATGCGAGCGGACGTAATCGTATTCTGTCTTATTAGCTGGAAATTAATATCATTTCGAGGTAAACAAGACGTGGAACGTGATCGTTTAATTGCTTTCTCAATATAGACTAACGTTCGTATTGTTCGCTTGCTTTTATTAAAACAATTAATTTGATCGAATTGAAATTATTGTCGTGTGTAAATTATGTATTACGTGTAAATAACCGATAAATGGATTTTGATTAATCTTTAAAAATTTATTTATGAAACAATATTTACGATTTTCTCAATCATCGCGGACATTTTTCTTTTTTAATTGTTAATTAACTGCGAATGAAAAAAGAATTTGTAGAGATCGTATAATTATTTTTTTTCACGTTTTATTAATCAATAAATCAAATGAAAAGAGAGTCAAATTACAGAAGCGATAATTGCTTATCTAGTTTTCATTTACTCGTTATTTAATTAAGATTAAAGAAATTATAACCACCATCTTTTTTGCGAAACTTTTCCAAAAAGTTATTCGTTTCTTTAATCTTAATATTCAAATTTCTTCGCTATATCTGTATGAAAAGCATCGTGCATGGGATAAAAAAAAAAAAAACGATTTACTGTATAACGATGATCATGCAAACCGTTATTCTTTTCTTATCTCGAAGGGGGAAGGTAAATAAAAAAGAATGAAATATAATAGTCTATCTAACCCGGAATGAAGTTGCCATAAATGCAAAAATCCATAGTTACGTGGAAGACATGCAACGAATATATAATTTACTGCATATGTTTTATATCACAAGGATTAGATTTTCCAGTTTTTCGCGGAACCACGCATATTTTATAATACTATCTAACTTCATAATTATGCATGGATAGGAAAAAAACGAAAAATGAAAAAGTTGTTCAATTTCGAAAAAATTCGAGAGTAGTGTAAAATTGTTTTTAAAAAAGAAGTTTTCTCGAGAATAATTGGATTCGAGAAACCACACCTTTTTAGATTTGACATGAGATGATATTAGGATTTCTAATGTTTTTTTACATTTCTTATTAATATACCTGAAAATGTATAATAACAATCTATTAACGAAATAACAATGATAATGATAGTTTCCTTAATCCAGATTATCCTTCTCTCACGTAACTTCTTCTAATTTCTTCAATCTTATTCCTTAAACTAATATTAGATACTTCGATTATTTTCCATATTTTTCACTATATTCGTGATGCCACTATCAGAATTCTTTGTCAGAATATTTTGTAAAAGTCATCGATCAATCATACCGTACTTAAGCGTTAATAAGCACTCTTATTCACCAATATCCAAATATCGATTCGATTAAATCTCTCTACACACATCTAATTCGCATCCAATCGTAATATTATCCATCGCATATAACGCAAGACTAATTCAGCGCATGACAACGTAAATTGCTATAATTCATGCAACATTAACGATTCGCTTTCTAAAGCAATTAAACGCGTTAATATTACAAGTGATCTTTCCGCAAACTGTGCTTGTTTCCTCTCACCGCGCAACAGTTTATTCCGGTTTGGCGTAAATTGAACGTAAAATATAATTTGCGAAATATTTCGCATACCATTATACGCGCGAATGTTCGCCTAACGTAATGGAACTATTTCATTTTTACGTATTATGCCTCTAGGATGGATGATGTGTAATGGATGGATAGAAGAACGAGTCGTGGATTTTGATCAAAGAAATATCCAATTTTTCATTTATATTATGCGCTCAGTAAAAAATTTTTGATTAGAAATGTTAAGAAATTTTAGGAGAAGATGAGGAGATGTTGCACAAAAAAAATCATTTTGTTAAAATTTGGAACATAGATCAATCACAATCATATCAAATAGTAATGATCCAAATTTGAAAATCTTTAAAAAAAAAAAAGAGAAAGAAAAGAAAATAGGTACTTAAATACTTGAGTATGGATGTTAAAATTCACAATCCCATATTTTCAATGATGAATATGATAAAATGAAATTCTCGCGCAAATGAGATCGTAGGGAAAACAGAATCCTAGATTTCAATTTTCATACGATCGTTAATTTCAACGCTGAATCTTGACGTTGTTCTATGCATTTTTCATCTCGTTCAAATATCGAGGTTCCATCGTAATCCAACGAAAACGTTCGCCGACTATCCTCAAAATAGGATGTAACGTGGGGAACAGGGTTGATTTTTCATTGCCCGATGTCCGAATTAATGGATTCGCGATGATCCGCACTGAGACTTGATTTACCGGAACTAATTAAAACGCAACCTGATGAAGTTTCTTCCCCCTTGACGTTGGAAACAGTTTTTAATCCATGAAGGAGGATGGGTTGCGTTGCGTTGCATTGTTTAACGTGGATAAAGGGAAGACGAGGATTTCAAAGCACGCGACGATTTCAATTTGCTATTCCTAACGACCCCTCCTCCCCTTTTAATTAAGTGATCAACATGTGTGGAATAATGTAGGGACTAATATTGTTGGGGATATTGTGATTGGATTGGATTTTAATATACATGATTTTCGGAGGCGGGGTCAATTTTAAAATGCGCTGCAGAGATGGCGCGACGATACAGATGGTACCATTACAGATTAACGAACGTATGCACATTTCGATATTGAAATCATTTATAAAAAAAAAAGAAACTTCTACAGATTCTAATAGAACACAATCTCACAATTTTACAAAATTATATCCTGAATTTTTCCCACAATAAAATTTACGTTTCCAAATTGAATGAAATTTTTCTAATGAAATTTCCAACTCTTTATACCTGTACATCCACTGTGATCGTAAAAGATAGGGGGGGGTTGAATTTGAACGTATCCAAGGAGACACGTCGCTTATACCCTTTATGTAATCTTTTATTCTCTACTCGAAACGAGTGGTCCGCTCGTAAGCGGGGAGAGAAGGTCTTTTGATTGGATTTTATCGCGTTTCAGGAGGCGAGGCGCCAAAAGTTAAAGACTGTCCGAACGACATAGAGGTCACGGGGAGAAATGGGACAGCGATTACGTGGACCGAGCCAATTTTCACGGACAACGTGAAGGTGACCCGGATTAGGAGCAACGAGGTCAGTGTTAATTATAAAGCACTTAATTTCTTAACGACGTTCGATCATACCGCGATATATTGTCGAATGTGTGTCACGTTCGTTATTACGTTGATGCCTGCTGGAGAATAAGTTATAGGTTCTACATAGACTTTGGACTTCTTCGTTTGTACTAATCATGAAGATTTATACGAATGTATGGTTCGGTATGTTTCAATTATATAAGATGTTGATGAGACAGATTCGAAGGGTCGATTTTAGAGGCCAAAAGAAACTGAAAAGTTGGTCATCCATTAGTTATAAGGAATTGGAAGTTTTGTGTTAGATAAAGGGGGATAGAATAAAACTTGAAGCTAAAATTTTATTACGTGTCAGTTTTATATAACAACTTTTTCTACTTGTTTTGGATTTTAAAAATCTTATAACTAGTTATAATAGTTCAATAAATGATACTTGTTGATCGTAAATTACATAGTTTTATTAGATAATTGTATTATTATATTTCTGTTTTATCCATAGTCATAAAATAATTCTAGCATGTAATAATAGTTATATTTTGTAAATAATAATTTTACTTTGTTGGTTATGTTGAAAAATTGTATTAATTCAACTGTGTGAATATTTTTTTTTCACAAGAAAAGATTTAATTTTAAAAATTTAACAATGATTTTTTTAACGTAATTACATTCAACATTAAAAATTTATATATTCACACGGATAACGAGTGTAATAAAAATGAATAAATTGGCTATAATATATATTATATAATATATTTAAGTTTTTATAAAAAAAATTCACATTGATAAATTCAGCGTATAATATATTCATATTATATTCAAATTTAATTTTATACTTGTACTTTCAAAAAGAAAATAATAGAAATCTTTTAATTAAATTAAATGTCAAGATTAAAAAACTCAAAATCTTAAAGTTTTGAAATGATAGATCGTATATTGATAACGGATCATTTTTTGAGCCTCTTTATTTCATACTTTATTTAATAATGACATGAAAGATTTTTCTTGTTCAGCAATTGCATGAATCTCGATCAGTGTGAAATTCCATGCGGTTCTTATTAATTTCATACGCATCACAGCTTTATAGTCGATTCAATCGATGAAGGGATTTAATCAAATTTATAGGAATTAATCAAAGAATTTGAGAATATTTCGCTGAATATTCGCTGGAATCTTTAAAGATTGCATTAATTTAAAAAAAAGCTATATTCATATATACTCTACATTTGAATTGTTTTGCTCGATTATCGTCTATTTTGGACTCGTTATACTGTATGACAAAAATAGAAGAGAGAAAAGAAGAAAGTTATTTTAAAGTTATTTCGATAACTCTTCCTCTCTCTTTTCTTTCATTTTTATTATCACAAATTTACAAGAATTTTTCTTCATTTTTATAAATCGTGCATTTCATTTTTGCTAAGATTATTTTTCATTTTTAAATAGAATACATAACATTCAAATTTAAAGTACAATCATTCATATTCAATTCTAGATTATTATTTCGTTAACAATCGTTAATCTAAATGAAAAATCTAAACTGTAAATCCAAATCAATGTAAAATTTTCAAATTTTCAAATTAATTCGATATTTTATTTAATTAATAAGTATCTTATATAAATTAATAAGTAGAATACAGTATCTTTGTACGTCAACGATTGAATTTTTAAGAAATTTCATTATAAGAGAAACGTCATACATTCGTCTTTTTCGTAATTTGCTTCAATATTTCATATCAATACTATTATTTCATATCGCGTGGAGAAATTTAATTTTATACACGCATAATTAATTTTTATTCTCAATAGATTTTTTATTTACATATATGAATTTTAAAGATTTTACATAATTTTTTATATAAACAGGTTTTTTGTGCTAAACACGAAGGAATTATATTCTCATTTGCATGAGTAATGATATAACTAAATACATGAATCCAAAGTTATAAAGATAGTGGATTGGAACAAACAGGAAGTATAAATATTTCAAGATTAAATTACTTAACAATTAATTCTCAAAAAAAAATGAAAATTTCACGATTCTCCTTATCGAACAACTCTTAATATTTGATATAATTTACTCATGATTTAATGAATTTCGTTGAATAACAATTTAACAAAAGAAAAAAAAACGAAAAAGTAGCAATGCAGTTAATGCTGCAATAAGAAAAGATAGAATATTTATATTTTTGATTAAGAATTATTCGATAAATATTAAAAAAAAAAGAAACAAATCATTCTTATGATCATTGAATATATTATATTCAAAAAAATTTGTATCAAACGACAAAAGAGGAATGGAAAAATTTTGCAAGCTGGATATGATTCGGTCATAACGATATCGACATGATTCATCTAACGAATGACAGTTTTCATTATCTATTAAATCGATGTGTCATAGTAATCGATGTCGATTTGTTCTCGTGTATCGGTTCAGAATAGCTCGGAGAGCAAACTGTAGAAAGTTTGACGAGAATTTAAACCGCGCTGTAGAAAGTTTGTGTGGAGAATCCATGTTTCTATGCAAATATCGTGTAACAATTTTGTTTACAAACTAACTTGGTAAATCGTGTTTCACGATTAAGTAACAATGTAGAGAGAATATGAAGCTGCCTCAATACCGGCCACCCTTTATTCTTTTTACACACATTCTAAATCTTCTTCCGTGCTTCAAGGTGGATCCAATTGAATTAAATTGCAGCTGAAACACGAGCAAATGTAAGGATAAAAGAGAATGAAAAAGAAAATTATTTTTTAGAAAATGAAATATTGCTACGCGAAAGTATCATAGAATAAGTTGGTAAATAAAAGCAGTTCTTATTTTTATAAATTTCTTCTTTACAAATTTTTATTTTATGTTGTGATTACGACTGAAAATCTCAAAATTTTTGCAAATCTAAAAATTTCTAATTTCTATTTTTTTAAACACATAAAAGTTTTTTTTTTTTAACATTCATTTTATATTTTATGAACATTTCATTTTATGAACATAATTTTTATATATAATATAATTTCTAATAAACTTTATGAATTTCTGATTTATGAACCGGGAATTCATTAATTCGTAAAAGCAAAAACTAAATGTACACGAGTAAAACAACTTATTCAATTTGCAAACGACTAACTAATTTATTAATTATTTTAAATTTATATAAAATTGTAGAATGTTAGAAAAATATACAATAAACATTTTATTTTTACATTATTTCATACTTTTTTTTAAAAATGAAATAAAATAATACAGAAATAGAATATTTTTAAACTATTCCGATTTTAATTACATCGAATACATTAGAAAACACATTGTAAAATATAAAATTCTATTGGAGAAATATTTGAAAAATTTACAAGATCCTATAAGAAAAGTATAAATAAAATAAATGTTAAAAACAATATAAAGTATTTACGAATTTAAAATTTTCAAAAATCGAGAACAACGAGTTTCTCGTTTGTACAATCTTCAACGTGGTTTTATTATTATCTAATACTAACCACATATTTTTTGGTATGTTTCAGAGTCCAGGACGACGTTTCGACGTCGGTGGCCACAGAGTGGAGTACGAGGCGAGCGATGAAGCAGGTTGGTCGAGCAAGTGCGTGTTCACCGTGGTCCTTCGTCAAGAGTGAGGCGGAAATTCGTGGACGATCAGGTGAGCGCGAGAACAAGGAAGAAGGAAGAGGAACAACGGAGAGAAAGAAGGAATTCAGGTAAAAGAGGGGGAAAAGGTAGTAGCAGGCTGGAAGAGCAACGATAAGGTAATATAAATGGAAATGCTCTGGACTCATGCGTGTCGTATTCTTCGCGTGCGTAATGGATTTCGTTTTATTCGAAAGGTTAAACGTGAATGAGACATGTCTTGTCACGATATTCGTTGATACACGAGTATGTGTGTGTGTGTACACATGGAAATTTGTTCGTTTTAATGTTTGAAAGAGTAATTGGGTATTATCCTATTGGGTGGAATTAGAAGATGATTTAAATTTGGAAAAATGTTTGGGGAATTCTTTTTATTTTTTTTATGAATTCTGGAAAAAGAATTATAATTTTTCGTTTGGAATAATATCTAAAAAAAAGAGAAAAACGTACATTTATATATGGAAATATATGTAATTAGAAAGATGGTTGGAAAGTTTAAAAATTGCTTTTGGGATCTTTCTTTCAGGGGGATTGGAATTTTTATTATGATTATTCCATTAAAATTTTCACATTTGGGATTTTTACAATGTTTTTGATTATTCGAAACGTGGATACAAATTTTTTTTTGTGAAAATACTGTTAATACTTTACGTATTGATTTTATTTTCTTTTGCTCTTATTATAATAATATATTAAACGTTATATTATCAAATTTTTAGTTGAATATTGGATTTAAAAATATTTCGTTTTCAGCATTATCATTACTTTTCTCCTTCAATTATTTAATATAAAATATACAATTCAAAAAGTTTAATAGCTCTATAGAATCGTTATTGTACAATATCGACAGAGATGATCTCAAGAATAATGGTTAATATCCTTGTTATATAATTCTCATAATTTTTTGATGATTATTGCCAATATTTGAATTCCCTAGTTCATAGTTTCGCAAACATTTACTTGTTAATGGCGTATCAACCATCTAAAATACTTTATAATTTCTATTACGCTTAAAGATCCTTCATTTTGAAACAGTTGGAATGTTATAGCGAAAAATATTATTCCAGTGGATATAATGTTATATTCGACCAGTATCTTCATCCTATTAAAGTTTAGAAGTGGAGCACTTAAGAAATGAAAGATGATGAAGTCTGAATCATCCCATTCGTGAAAATGCAATTAAATTTTTATCCACGTCTACACATATATATACGTCGATGATTATGAAAGTGGTTTAAATAAAAAAAAACTTTATCTATTTATTTAATTTACATTTGCTCTATAAAATAGAATAGTATTATTTTTTAAAAGTGGTTGAAAATTGAATAGCGAAATGTGACGTGGAAAGTATATTTTTTAATAATGACGATTGTAAAAGTCGGAATATTTTAAAAAAAAAGTATACTGCTAGTCAGAGATATAGTTAGGTCTCCAAAATATAACTTCGATACATTCATCAAATCATAAAAAAAAAGTAATTATTTAATTAAATCAAAAGTAATCTAATAATAAACTGGTTATACAACATCGTAATATAATCTGCAAATAAAAGAGGATAATACCTTAGCCATGACGAATCAGTATCTCATTTTCGTAATTAGTGCGTAATATATACAAACGCGTAACGTATCCGAAGTATTTCATTCGAGTAAAGCGTCTCGTCGATCTTCGCGGTTGACTTTTCAGAACTTTGAA